TTCTTGCATTTTGTTGTGAAAACTAACATTGCCACAAGATTCAGCATAGTCGATAACCTATGTCTTCATTGATTCCTGATAGTCCCAAACTTAACGGCAGAGGAGTGCTAAGGCTTCAGGGAAAACGTCCATAGCTCTCGAACCATGGATTTGTAAGGTATCCCTTGGATCCAGTTTTGTAGAGGACACTTTGGACTATATATCTATGAAAAACGTTTAAGTTTAACTGCAATAGTTATTTTGACAGTCGCAAAGGCCTTAGGATGTTTCTCGAAAACTCTTGGTCTTGGCAGTTTAAAAATGGAGCTTTTCTGTGCCAAACATCAAAGATGAATCTTAAAAAGGAATGTATACTCTTGTAGAGAATTAAATTGTCTATCGTTTGGTATAGTAAGGATTTTTTTCTATCTTTTTTTGTTTATCAGTTATTTGTTCATTAATATATTTATCACTCATATATGTAGCCACATGTGTTGGCCAATCTAATTCAAAATCGAATACATCTGTTAACAATAAGGCTGGTCCTTTCGGTAAATCATCTTCTAAATCTTTATCGTCATTATTTTGTTGATGTTTAATACGCGATACAGAATCAGCTGCTTTATTTGTTGATCCTGATGTATATTTTATTTCAAATGAATATTGTTGTAATTCTTCAATCCATCTAATATGTCGCCGTGTTAAATGTTTTTGTGTCAGTAAATGTTGCAAACTATGATGATCGGTTGTTATTATAAATTTAACACTATTTGCAGCTTTTGTTTTTATTGTAAATTGGATACCTTCAACGTAACATCTCCATATACGTAATGCATGAACGATAGCTAGTAATTCTTGTTCATAAACTGGATAATTTTGTTCAGCTGGTGTTAATTTTCTTGATTCATATGCAATAACTCGTTCAATTTTATTTTCATCCAATTGTGTTAATATGGCACCAATAGCATGACCGGATGCATCTGTTGTTATATGTGTTTCCAGTTTTGGATCATATGTACGAAGTATTGGTGGTTCTATTAGTTTTTTCTTCAATATACGAAATGCACATTCTTGTTTATAGGATAGTGGACTTCTTTTTTTAAGCATCCTAAATGGCTCTAAATTGTAGCTGTTTATATATTGTTAATTATTAGTGTTTGTCTTTTTACAAAGTTTATTAAATAAATTTAAAAGCCGAATAATTTAGCCTATGCATGCATTTGAGGGAGGAGTCGAGAAGGGACGAATCAAGAAAAAATTTTAAGGGACGAAATGAGAAGGGACGAACTGAGAATAAAAATTTACGAGGGACGAATTGAGAAATCAATTAGGGACGAATCGAGGCTAAACCCAAAAAACACCTATCAGTTTCCCACTTACCCTTAATTTTCAGTTCTACTTGTGTTCTAGTTTGATGATTATGATGTAAATGAGAAATTTTGTTTGTTAAAAAACTAGGTGCTAATCCGCTCACTATCTTAAACATACGGAGAATTTTCTGTTGATCAAAAACTTCAAGTACGTCTTGCCGTCCTAAAACCTGGAGTACTTTACTCCTACACTTTAAATGTAAGCAAGCAGTTACAACTAAAGCAAACTTGTATTGTGTACTGGATATGAAAGAAAGATTTTTAGCAGTAGTAGATGAATAAAGAATTGAAGCGTAAAGTAATATGGGATACGCATAGCACTTATAAATTTGATCTAAAACGGTAGTTTGAAATTTGTTCTTATACTGATATATTAAATATACAATTTTGTTACATCTTACAATTACGTAATCAATGTGTTCCAATTTAATTGAGGCGTTAAAAAAAGACCTAAGTGTTTATGACTTAAAACGTCAAAGAGGGCAGTTCCATTTATTATAAGCGGTAAATGAGACGTATCCAATACTCGCTTACTAAAAGTCATTGCTTCACATTTCTTAACATTCAGATCTATCTGTCAATACAAGGACCACTTGTAAACGCGTTTTAAATCTTCATTCCAAATATCAGTTGCTTTTTCAATTGAAGTATCAGTAACGTGCAACAAAACATCATCCGCGAACAATCTCGTTACTGATTTCAAATTTAAGAATCTCTTCAATATAAATGAGAAATAACAGGGGTCCTAAAATAGATCCCTGTGGGACTCCACGATTAATCTTTCACCTAGAGGAAGTAGTACCGTACACTCCTGTTTCTATAAACCTATCAGAAAGATATGAAGAAAACCATTTTAACATATTAGACGATACACCTTTTTGTTTTAGCTTGTAGAGTAAGCCAGCATGCCAGACCGAATAAAAGCTTAAATTAAACAATTCTTAAATTTAAATTAATTTAATTAAAAGAAAAACTGATCTAGTTAGTTTGTGGCTTTCCATTCCTAACTCCACAGCATGAACGAAATCAATTAACTGATTAACTGTAGAATCGCGATGGCGAAAACCAGATTGTAACGAAGCTAACAGATTATTTTTAATTACGTAATTATAAAGACGGGAATATACTACACTTTCCAAAGATT